GTCAGTCGGACAGCCAGTCCTGTTACTTCCTGGTTTGTTTAGCTCAGTGGAACTAAACTCAAGGGGCAGCAATTACACAGAGCACTAGCCTTGCAAAGACGTCTCATTGTCCTGCATTGGAAAGTCTGTGATTGGACAGCCACAGAAAGTCTGGGCGGGGTCTGAAGGGGAGGGTTTGCAAAGGCTGCAGACACGATACCTGCCACTTTTACAATGTTCTTTAAGATATATAATAGATATATAATGAAAAGAATGTATGATTAAATACATAAATATATTTGCATTGGGGGCATATCTTCTAAATTGTAAAAACAAAAAAAAATACAAAAAGAATAATGGTTTTCCAGTGGAGTGTTCATTTGACATAACTGTATTTTATGATGATGGTCGCATTTCCGGATGGATGTCTTTCTATTAACAAATTCAAATTAAAGGAACACTCTGGGCACCTTAGCAACTTCATGAAGATGAAGGTTTTATAGTGCCAGGAGCCGGTTGGTGCTTCCTTACTGTTAAGGGTTAAGCAATTCAGGAATGTTTTAACCTCTAAATTGTCTCTTCGCGCTGTTCCTCCCTGTAACCATCCACATCCATTTTTTCGAATTCTGATTCTGAAAGTACAGATTGCCACGGGGCAGGGGGAGCGATGATTGGCATAGAGTGGTCATCAGATGCTTCAAGCCAATTAGTAGCTTCCCATTCTACGGACCATGCTTCTGGGATCAGAATTAGCTAAAGCCAATGTGAGTGATTACAGGGAGAAACGGCGCTCCAGAGCCAACTTGTTCCTGAATGGCTTAACCCCTTAAGGAAGCACCTGGGGGCTCCTGGCACCACACCAACATCATTTTGATAAGGTCGTCATGGCGCCCGCCATGTTCCTTTAAACGGATTGGTAAACATTCTGGGATTAACTCTTGTGGCTCTGCAATATATGAGAATTTCTTTACAGTAAGAATAAAGAGGTTGTAATGTGAACAGTTATATAATATTGTGTAGTCTGGTAGGGTAAAAGTGATAGGGGTTACAGTCCACAACATCAGAAGGAAAAAACATCCGGTCTGTAAATACCAATAAACCCTTCCCCCCTCACCCTGCAATCTGGGGTGTTCCCATGTACAGCCTGTCTTGGAATCACCCACAATTTATTTAATAAAGGGGTACAGCTAGGGAGGGAAATGGGGGACACTCAGAATAAAGGAAGCATAGGGGGGGAGAGAGGGGGAGAGAGGGGGAGAGAGGGGGAGAGAGAGGGAGAGAGGGAGAGACAGACTGGAAACGGCTATCACAGAATGGGCTGGGATATGAGACAGCCGGATATGAACAGCAGGAAGAGACAGGCAGGGAGGAGCCTGGTCAGTACTCACACTGACAGCCACAGGAAGACTGAGAGACACAGGAAAATGTAAACAGTGAGACTGAAATCAGCAAATCCAGGTAAGAGACAGTCACAGTCTGAGATATTAACAATGTATCAAAATAGCTCAACGGTCCTATAAACAATGTAACAACACCCCATGTTTATAAACAATGTAACAGCACCCCATGTTTATAAACAATGTAACAGCACCCCATGTTTATAAACAATGTAACAGCACCCCATGTTTATAAACACTGTAACAGCACCCCAAACACTGTAACAACACCCCATGTTTATAAACAATGTAACAGCACCCCATGTTTATAAACACTGTAACAGCACCCCATGTTTATAAACACTGTAACAGCACCCCATGTTTATAAACACTGTAACAGCACCCCATGTTTATAAACACTGTAACAGCACCCCATGTTTATAAACAATGTAACAGCACCCCATGTTTATAAACACTGTAACAGCACCCCATGTCTATAAACAATGTAACAGCACCCCATGTTTATAAACACTGTAACAGCACCCCATGTCTATAAACAATGTAACAGCACCCCATGTCTATAAACACTGTAACAGCACCCCATGTCTATAAACAATGTAACAGCACCCCATGTTTATAAACAATGTAACAGCACCCCATGTTTATAAACAATGTAACAGCACCCCATGTTTATAAACAATGTAACAGCACCCCATGTTTATAAACAATGTAACAGCACCCCATGTTTATAAACACTGTAACAGCACCCCATGTTTATAAACACTGTAACAACACCCCATGTTTATAAACACTGTAACAACACCCCATGTTTATAAACAATGTAACAGCACCCCATGTTTATAAACACTGTAACAGCACCCCAAACACTGTAACAACACCCCATGTTTATAAACAATGTAACAGCACCCCATGTTTATAAACACTGTAACAGCACCCCATGTTTATAAACACTGTAACAGCACCCCATGTTTATAAACACTGTAACAACACCCCATGTTTATAAACACTGTAACAGCACCCCATGTTTATAAACAATGTAACAGCACCCCATGTTTATAAACACTGTAACAGCACCCCATGTCTATAAACAATGTAACAGCACCCCATGTTTATAAACACTGTAACAGCACCCCATGTCTATAAACAATGTAACAGCACCCCATGTTTATAAACACTGTAACAGCACCCCATGTCTATAAACAATGTAACAGCACCCCATGTTTATAAACACTGTAACAGCACCCCATGTTTATAAACACTGTAACAGCACCCCATGTTTATAAACAATGTAACAGCACCCCATGTTTATAAACAATGTAACAGCACCCCATGTTTATAAACAATGTAACAGCACCCCATGTTTATAAACACTGTAACAGCACCCCATGTCTATAAACAATGTAACAGCACCCCATGTTTATAAACAATGTAACAGCACCCCATGTTTATAAACACTGTAACAGCACCCCATGTTTATAAACACTGTAACAACACCCCATGTTTATAAACAATGTAACAGCACCCCATGTTTATAAACACTGTAACAGCACCCCAAACACTGTAACAACACCCCATGTTTATAAACAATGTAACAGCACCCCATGTTTATAAACACTGTAACAGCACCCATGTTTTATAAACACTGTAACACCCATGTTTATAAACACTTTTAACAACACCCCATGTTTTATAAACGCTGTAACAGCCCTGTTTATAAACAATGTAACATAGCTTATGTTTTATAACAATGTAACAGCCCATGTTTACATAAACAGTAACAATATGTTTATAAACAACAATGTAAACAACTTATGTTTATAAACAATGTAACAGCACCCCATGTTTATAAACACTGTAACAGCATCCCATGTTTATAAACACTGTAACAGCACCCCATGTTTTTATAAAAAGTATAAAATATCAATCCCCCCCCAGTGTTTACAAAGAAAGTAATAACACCCCAAAGTTTATAAACAATGTATGAATCCCCCAGTGTTTATGAGCAATGTAACACCCAGTTTTATTTTGTATTTAATTAAGAACAATGCATTAAACCTGCTTGTGTTTATAAACAATGTACAATCCTCCCAATGCTTTAATTAGCAATGTATCTGTAAATGCCCTAATATGATATGATAATAAATACACAGCTCAGATGTTTATAAATCCATAACCATATATCGGATCTGTGTGTACTGCTGTTATGTCTTCCCTGTTCAGAGTTCTGGGCATAATATATTGTTAAATAAACAGTACCTTATACAACCATGCAAAGTGCAATATGGCAGCTTTAAACATTCACAGCCTCAGTCTGGCACTGACATTTCATTATTCCAGCTGTGAAGATTATATTTCTCAGGATTTGTCAGACATTCAAAGTCATTTTCCGATTCTAGATCATAATATCTGAATTAAAAGATTCTCTCAAACCAGCTATATTTTCATTTGAGCTATTTTAACATAAAATAGAGAATCCCTGCCAGTTCATGGTTTAGTGGATAACATTTCTGTAAATCTGCAGGCTGTGCTTAGAGAGTAAGCTCTTTGGCTCAGTCTGTGTATCTCTATTGGAAGGCATCCTATTTGTCATTGATTTCCCCAGGTTACAGCGCTGTCACCATGTATTCTACTAAATCACATGTTACAGAGCTCACGTGTTGAAGGTTTATCCACTAAACTGTTTAATTCCGTGAACTGAATTGTAAAATGATCGTTATAAATAGTAGTGACTACAGTGGGAGACGCTCCCAATCCATTATTTGTTCAAAGTTTCTAGTTTGGTTTAAATGTCTTGGCTGTGTTGAACTGATTCAGGAATTGTGAAGTTTAGGCCCAGACAGACAAGTAAGAGTCTCTGATTCAGCCTTTCCCCCCCAGTTTGTCTATTTCATTTATCCTCGAATTGTGCAGTTCTTTAAACAGATTTCCACATTTTCTGATTCAGTGAGTATATTCGCATGGAGTCTGGTGAAAAGATAAGCGAAATGCAGATTGCAGTTTATGGAAATTTAAGAGTATTTTACCCTCTTCGTTTTATTCACTGCAACGATTTAATGTATAAACCCCACATGTCACTCTCCCTCCTCCTAAGATTGGGAAGTTGTTGGAGCTGGGATTTTTGTTGCCCGAGTACGCCCATTGTGTGATAAGGCAGTGTGACCTTACACAGTTTGCATTCACACCCATGGAACGTGGGTCTGCATGCCAGGAACATGCATGACTTTATACGTGGATGGGGGGAGGAAGTGGGAACCCCCAGTGAGGCCCAAGGGTTATTGAATCACACTTTACTTGAGTAGGCAGTCTTAGACTCTGTACTCAGATAAGAACCTGTGGAGGTTTGCGTAAATTGTGAAGGTTGGAGTTTATTAGAGATTTCATTTTCTTTAAACCCTACATGTGGTAACTCTGTGGTTTGGGAGATTTTAGAACGATGGAATTACTGACTGTCTGCAACAGAGTGAGCTCACCGCAGCTGTGCAACCGATCCACTAAACCGGGACTGGAGGAGATGTGACAAATTGCACATTTAGATCGGGGTAACCGAGCTTTTCCTTTTATAAGCTGTAGGGTTCATTCTGTCCTCCAGTTAACACAATATCCGGTGGAATGACGCCGTGCGCCATGCTCGATCCTAATTACGTAGAACGTTACGGGGGACGTGAGTGGGAAGGTCCGTATAAACTATGGATGTGAAACGACTTTCAGCAGCACTTGGGCTCAATTACCCATAATTCTTTGCCAGCTATTGAATAATTCTGGGTGATGTAGTCCAGCAATAGGTGGAATGTTAGGGTTGGACTGACTGTGTCGCCATGTATAACCTCTGGTTAGTCTCGAAGCGGACTATTGTCCATGGCTTAACGATCACATAGTCCGTATAAATCTCGCTTTATCTTAAACAGATTGTGGCAAAGATGGAGTCTGTATTCCTGTCAGGACTTCGCCTGAAAACACTGACCTTCATCGTAATTACTGTCTGCAGCCTTCCAGTAACAAATTCATTCATCTGTGCGGTAAGATAACATGTATACAGGATTGTACAAAGCGAACTTCACATTTCTAGTCAAACAAAAACATTGCTGACTTTCGTCATTTTTCAAATTTTGGAAAACAAATGACGATTTACAATAAATTGCTGATAATTCAAACTTTACGATCAGTTACACCCCCTCTGATGGGATAAGAGAGCGTCCCACACACAGGGATTCCTATAAGTTATAGGGTCAGTGACGCCCCCTCTGATGGGATAAGAGCGTCTCACACAGGGATTCCTATAAGTTATAGGGTCAGTGACTCCCCCTCTGATGGGATAAGAGAGCGTCTCACACACAGGGATTCCTATAAGTTATAGGGTCAGTGACGCCCCTTCTGATGGGATAAGAGAGCGTCTCACACACAGGGATTCCTATAAGTTATAGGGTCAGTGACGCCCCCACTGATGGGATAAGAGAGCATCCCACACACAGGGATTCCTATAAGTTATAGGGTCAGTGACACTTCCTCTGATGGGATAAGAGAACGTCTCACACACAGGGATTCCTATAAGTTATAGGGTCAGTGACGCCCCGTCTGATGGGATAAGAGAGAGTCTCACACACAGGGATTCCTATAAGTTATAGGGTCAGTGACGCTCCCTCTGATGGGATAAGAGAGCGTCTCACACACAGGGATTCCTATAAGTTATAGGGTCAGTGACTCCCCCTCTGATGGGATAAGAGAGCCGCCCTGGGCCACCACAGGATTCCCTATAGTTATAGGGCCCAAAGTGGACGCCTGATGCAGGGGATGGGCGAGAGCCGCCCTCACACACAGGGGTTCCTATATGTTATAGGGTCAGTGACGCTCCCTCTGATGGGATAAGAGAGCGTCTCACACACAGGGATTCCTATATGTTATAGGGTCAGTGACGCTCCCTCTGATGGGATAAGAGAGCGTCTCACACACAGGGATTCCTATAAGTTATAGGGTCAGTGACATCCCTTCTGATGGGATAAGAGAGCGTCTCACACACAGGGATTCCTATAAGTTATAGGGTCAGTGACATCCCTTCTGATGGGATAAGAGAGCGTCTCACACACAGGGATTCCTATAAGTTATAGGGTCAGTGACGTCCCCTCTGATGGGATAAGATAGCGTCTCACACACAGGGATTCCTATAAGTTATAGGGTCAGTGACGCCCCCACTGATGGGATAAGAGAGCGTCTCACACACAGGGATTCCTATAAGTTATAGGGTCAGTGACGCCCCCACTGATGGAATAAGAGAGCGTCTCACACACAGGGATTCCTATAAGTTATAGGGTCAGTGACGTCCCCTCTGATGGGATAAGAGCGTCTCACGCACTGGGATTCCTATAAGTTATAGGGTCAGTGACATCCCCTCTGATGGGATAAGAGAGCTTCTCACACAGGGATTCCTATAAGTTATAGGGTCAGTGACTCCCCCTCTGATGGGATAAGAGAGCGTCTCACACACAGGGATTCCTATAAGTTATAGGGTCAGTGACTCCCCCTCTGATGGGATAAGAGAGCGTCTCACACACAGGGGTTCCTATAAGTTATAGGGTCAGTGACGCCCCCACTGATGGCATAAGAGAGCGTCTCACACACAGGGGTTCCTATAAGTTATAGGGTCAGTGACTCCCCCTCTGATGGGATAAGAGAGCGTCTCACACACAGGGATTCCTATAATTTATAGGGTCAGTGACGTCCCCTCTGATGGTATAAGAGAGCGTCTCACACACAGGGATTCCTATAAGTTATAGGGTCAGTGACGCCCCCTCTGATGGGATAAGAGAGCGTCTCACACACAGGGATTCCTCTAAGTTATAGGGTCAGTGACACCCCTTCTGATGGGATAAGAGAGCGTCTCACACACGGGTTCCTATAAGTTATAGGGACAGTGACGCTCCCTCTGATGGGATAAGAGAGCATCTCACACACAGGGATTCCTATAAGTTATAGGGTCAGTGACGCCCCCTCTGATGGGATAAGAGAGCGTCTCACACACAGGGATTCCTATAAGTTATAGGGTCAGTGACGTCCCCACTGATGGGATAAGAGAGCATCTCACACACAGGGATTCCTATAAGTTATAGGGTCAGTGACGCCCCCTCTGATGGGATAAGAGAGCATCTCACACACAGGGATTCCTATAAGTTATAGGGTCAGTGTCTCCCCCTCTGATGGGATAAGAGAGCGTCTCACACACAGGGATTCCTATAAGTTATAGGGTCAGTGACTTCCCCTCTGATGGGATAAGAGAGTGACTAACATTTAATTTCTGTTTAGTTCCTGAGCTAAACATCTTAAAGAAGCAATCCCTGAAAATCCATATAATAGAAGGGAGGCGGGAGTATGAGAGTATCTTGTTGTTCTGGGTAAGTGACTTCTCTCCTGTCTGCCATGTACGGAGTACGAGGCAACAAACTGTTACTGACATTCTGCCGTGGCCGTTGCTGTATCCACAGGAGCTCACTATCCTGATGCCCAATGTGTCTTTCGAGCTTGTGTTCGTCGGCGATGTTTTACCGTTGGAGGAGGATAAGAGACACTTCATTCTGCGTCGGATGGTGAGAGCAGACAGGGTGGAGGTTACAGCAAGGGGATATATTCTAATATATTCTATACTATACATACTATTAATACTTTGTCTCCTGCCTCCAGGGATCCAAAGTGATTTGCACTGATCTCACCTCCCCTAACCAACACAAAGGAGAAAAAGGCATCCACGTTAAAGTGCATTCCCATTCCTACCACAGCCTTCAGGCCTCTAAACCCGACCTCGTAATTGGTGAGTAATAAGAGATGAATTAAATGGACTAGTACAGCGTAATACACAAAACATGATTATTGTCGTATTAAAGAAAAAGAGGAACCCAGACTAATGCATTAAATAATATGCCAAAGAAAATAAATAAATAAAATATTAAAATACAAAATATTGTTTACAGTCACCTCCCTTACTATCCGTCTCCAGGATTCATACTTGGGGGGGAGGGGCCACATAAGGGGCCAGGGACAGTTATAAAACGTGTGAGTATATATACACAGGGCTCGACAAATTCCGGGTCGCCATGGGGACTAGACATTTCGCCCTAGTGCATGCCATTTTTTCAGCCCTTTGCTAAGCCGCACAGGAAACGTTAAAGCCAGCCGTCGCAGGGAGCATGGAGGCGGCACGTGAGGGAGCAGTAACCTTCCTGCAGTTCCTCTCTGCTCCCATGCTCGCTGTTTAGTGACATGACGCCACTTCGTCCCGGAATCACTACAGAGAGCGCGCAGGGGAGCAGAGAGAAAATGCAGGAAAACTGAGAGGAGACACACTGGACGCCAGGGAAAGATCCACTCAGCTCTCCCAAAGGCTGGGTGGATTTAAATTAAATAAAAACAGCAATTTGAGGGTGTGTGAGAAAATATGTGTCTGTGTCTATTATATATATCTACTACGGTTAATCCAATCTACTATATATATATATACCAAAAGAGTTGTGGTGGGGAAAAAAGTGTGGATGAAAATCCCTTCCACCTGAAGTAAATGGATAGTTAATACATTACTTGCTTTTCCCACAGAAATCTCACTTTAACAGTGTTCTCATTACTGCAAGGGATTACTGGCTTGCTATGGAGGCTTGGATTAAGGGGTTTTCATCCACACTTTTTTCTCCTCCACAACTCTCTTGGTATGTACTTTATAAGTACCGCCAAGCCTCCATAGCAAGCCGGTAACCAACCTCATGCTGATGAGTTGCATTAACAACAAAACAGCTGTCCATGAGTGGTTCACTGGCTTTGCTCCTCTTCCTGAGCTGTGTTTCAAAGCTGTTGTATGCTGCAGACACATACTCCAAGGAATCCATGTATAAAGTGGAATTATGAGGCATAAATGTGATTCTTTGTTGAACTCATTTGCATATGCCTACCCAGAATCCCTTGCAGTAGTGAGAGCACTGTTAAAGTGAGATTTCTGTGGGAAAAGCAAGTCTTATGGCTTGACTGGTGTGTGTATTTTTGTTTTTATCAATGTATTAAAAAAATATATATATATATATTTATACAATACACAAGATATATTATAGTCTAGATTGTGTAGCGGGCCCTGGGTAACCCGGTAGGCTACCCCCGCTGTTAAAGGACCACTATAGTGCCAGGAAAACATACTCGTTTTCCTGGCACTATAGTGCCCTGAGGGTGCCCCCACCCTCAGGGTCCCCCTCCCGCCCGGCTCTGGAAAGGGGTTTAAACTTACCTTTTTCCAGCGCTGGGCGGAGAGCTCTCCTCCTTCTCTCCTCCTCCGATCCGCCCCGTCGGCTGAATGCGCACGCGCGGCAAGAGCTGCGCGCGCATTCAGCTGGTCGCATAGGAAAGCATTCATAATGCTTTCCTATGGACGCTGGCGTTCACTCACTGTGAAAATCACAGTGAGAAGCACGCAAGCTCCTCTAGCGGCTGTCAATGAGACAGCCACTAGAGGCTTTGGGGGAAGGCTTAACCCATTAATAAACATATCAGTTTCTCTAAAACTGCTATGTTTATTAAAAAATGGGTTAACCCTAGAGGGACCTGGCACCCAGACCACTTCATTAAGCTGAAGTGGTCTGGGTGCCTAGAGTGGTCCTTTAATGAAGGAAGAGACCCATTTCCCCCAGTAACTAAATGTGAAGAAAATAGATTTTTAATTGACATTTTCTTCTTTGTTCGGTACTTTCCCTGTTTATTACCCTTATATTGAATATATTGGTTCGGTAGTTTGAAACTACCGAACGCCGACCACCCTCCTGGCTCATTAACTACAAAGGAACCAGCAATTAAGTGCTCCCTGGGCGGCTGCTGTTCATACAGCCGAACGCCACGTGGAATAGAAAACAGCGGAACTAAAATCGGACACTCGACTTCCCGAACCACCGCTGAAACTACTGAACGCCGGCTTCAGTACTTCCCGAACAGCCAGGGGAGCGCCATTCGGTAGTTCTGTGCGAACGGACAAGGGGAGCAATCGCTCCTATGAGCCAGGAGGATCCATTCGGGACTTTGTTCGGTTTTTACCTATTTGTGAATTGACCGACCGCACACGCTAAATTTGTGGAACTGTTTTGGGCAGGAGCCGCGTGTGTGGTCGGTAAAAGGTACCCTCCATACTTTTTAAGAACCCCTGAACCGAACTGGGTGAAATTTGGATATGTTTGTCCCCCAGATTTGTGGGGATACCTGGTGGGGAAAGGGGTGTTCTGAGTTTTGGGGAAATTGTGTGCTCTCTGCCTGGAGATAATTGGTTTATTCCTTAACTTATCTCAATATCTCACAGGCAGAGAGGAGGCGTGTATTACTGTAAATCTGTATGTTGTCTTTGTTTGCTGTGGGAGGTCCACTTGCAGGAGGATTTCTCATAAAAGCCTGTGTGTTGTCAATAAAATTCATTCCTGTTACACCCTTCATGAAGTCTAGGCTCATGTTTGGGGGATATTCTATTTGCTGGGAAGAATCACCTTGGAACTGCATTTCATCTACCTTATTCCTCTACTCCCTGCTGCAGCTATAATCACTTATGCTCAGGGAACAGAAGACCACAGCACCATAACCACTGCAGGTCTTAACACTGGCCAACACACAGTTCCAGGGGTACAACAACAGCTTTATTGGCCACATGCGGCTTTATACTTTTCTCCATGCAAGGGGTGGAACACACATGAAGACAATGTCCCCTCCCCGGGTCCTCCCCCGCCCGGGGGTCGTATAACGGAACCAGAACCCCAGTCCCTTTGTCCTCTGCTCCCCCCCACTCATCCTCAGGGTTTCCCGCATCTGGTGACCAGGCGATCTTTATCTCATGAGCCTCTGTACCTGGGAGCCTCAGCGCGGGAAAGTTTCCTGCCTCTGTGACTCCCAGCCACAGAAAGCCTGCCAAACCGCCATTGTCTCCAAAGAGTGTCCCCATCAATCTCAGTGACCCCCAGAACAGCAACGTCATGAACTGCCTCCGTTCGCAGGGTCCCTGGGTGAAACCAGGCAAGGGAAGTGTCTCCTTTCGGGACACGAATGCACCCCCTGGCCGGCACTCATCTGTACAAACGGCGGCCACCCAGGGAAGCACTCATTAATGACTTCCCTTGCGGTTTAACACTTTTATTGCTAACGTTTTAATTGATTGATGTGAACACTCCAAAGGCACTGGGGAGGTTCTCGTTCGGAAACCAAGCGAGATGGGCAGCGAACCGGGAATGCTCCTCCTGGATGGCGTTCGTCCAACGAACGGGCCGCCACCCAGGGTCCGCACGCGCTGAAGCTTTCCTTGCGGTTTGTGGTTTCAACATCTAGTTAAGAGGTGTGAAAGGTCTAAAGCAACATTCTAATTGGGGTATTGGGGTGGTCCCCATTCGGGAGGCGAATGGAACCCATTCGTATGAGCTCTCCCGAACGGGAAGCAGGGGAAGCATAGAAATGCATCACAATTACAGGGGATAGAACATACAATTCACAAATTGTAGTGGTCCCACCACAGATTGGATTAGCCATATTAGTCCAGTAGACAAGATGCCAAACTGATGTTTTCTTGTTAGGTTTTTTTTTTTCTTTTTAACTAACTTATTGACTCTTCTCTGTTTATTTACTTTTTCTGGCTTTTCTCAGCCAACCTGAACCTTTCACTTTCAGGCACATCTCCTGCTATTTATGACGCCCCACTTACCCCCTCCCCTTCTCTAACAACAGTTGTTTTAAGTGCTAAACTCTATCAGATTGATCAGTATTGCTCCAGACCTGAAGAAGAGAGGAAAACTCTTGATAGCGCGTCTTTGAAACAATATGTCCAATAAAAATGGTATCATTGCATACAGCAATACTCTGGTATTTTGGCATTATACATATATTCAATTTGGTGTGTAATGGGGTGGAGTGTGTGTGTGTGTGTGTAGGTGAAGAGGTGGGTGTGAGGGGTGCACTGTGTGTCTATGCAAAGGTGTACTCTGTGTTGGTGGGAGTGCTTTACAAGAGCTTTACAATTTTTACTTTAATAATTGTTTTACCAAACAAAAGAATATTCTCCTTTCCCTGATCTTACCCTGCAGGCAGGGGCTGGCACAATCAGATCCGTGGTGGTTGAGAAGGCTGCCTATCCATCTGGTACAAGGGAGGTCACGAGATGAGAGGTATCTCTCTTGGAGCTCAAGCACTTACAGAGACTGACCCATACACACACACACAGACTGCCCCCCCTGCTGACAGACTGACCCATACACACACAGAGACTGCTCCCCCACACAGACTGACCCCCCCACATACACACAGACTGACCCATACATACACAGACTGACCCCCCCACATACACACAGACTGACTCATACACACACAGACTGACCCATACCCAAATCCACCCACACAGACTTACTCTCCCCCCACACACAGACTGACCCATACACATATACACATACACACACACACACACACACATACACACACACACAGACTGACTCCCCCCACACACACATACATACAGACTGAACCACATTGACTGACTCACACTTACCAGTAGCTGCCTGGATGCCTCTGTGCAGAGCTAAGCTTCCACTCCCTGTCTCTCCCCTGCACTGCTCTCTTCAGGAGGAAGTCCTCCCAGCACAGTGCCCCCTCTGGCCGCGTGTGGGAAAAGGGCTGTGAAGGGAGACTCAGTGCTCCCGACTTCAATTTCAATTGGTGGGTCACAAGGGAGGGCACTGCATGATGTAGGCACGCACCTCTTCGGATGAATAAAGCTACTTTTCAAACTGATAGAAGGCACACAGCGCTCGATTTTACACACAGACCACAGGTTTGTGGACCAGGCTGTGCAGTGAATGTTTGATTTACCTTTGCTCAGCTCTCTCCATGAAGAAATATCCTGCTATACTAATTCTATGCCTCAACCCAACAGCCTGTATCTCACTTTTTGTTCATCTCAGGTTTAACAGGTTGGAGGCTACTTAAGCTGTTAGTAAAAGAAGGTCTTCCTTGAGTGCAAATGTGACAGACTCTCTGGTCACCTAAGCCGGGTACATGCCTCCCCTTCTCTCAAAAGATTTTTCTTGCTAAAGTCAAACCCTTCAGTCCATGCCTCCAGGCCCTACTAGCTGCTCAGGAGTCTCCCATCACTGGCCAGGGGGCCGCTGAGTCACGGTGCCTCTGACCTTGAGCAAACTACCTGGAACTCTGAAGTGGATTGCGGAATTGACGCAGTCTCCTTAAACTTTAATGGGAGTGCTCACGGTCCCAGGACCGACAATGAAGGAGCTTTTTGGAGGGTTAACCGAGGGGGTGATGAGTCATCGAATGACACCAAGTACTTGGGGGAGCTCCGTGTTCCCACTTTGTTTTTATACGACTCTACCCAACTCTGTACTCTGTACTTCTGCGCTGGATCTAAAGCTAGCCACACGCCACTGAACTCTGGACTTCCACCTATTTCGGGCTAGCCACATCCAATTTTGGACAAAAAGGACGCTCCAGAGAGACGTTTCTGATGATGACACTGCTGGCACAGGAAATATGTTTTATGTCTGTTTTTCTTAATCTGGTGCTGAGGTGTCCAGCCGATAATAAAATTACCAGCTCAGGCACACTTTGGGGACCCCCCAAGTATGTAAGGTGACAATTGTGCCCCAATAAACCAGGTCTTATTCACCCTTCACTAAGTCTCGACCAGTGTTTGCAAAAGAGCATAATCACTGGAACTTCTACACAAGGAAAGGGGACAGCCTCGACGGTAGTAGCCCAGCTAATTGTCGGTTTACCACAGCAAATCTAAGTTTTAAACTATCCATAATTCCACATTCACCATCCTCTCTGCTCCTGTACAAGTCTTCACCCAGCACAATAATCTCCGCCATCGCTCTATTCTGCCTCTCTCCATTTCTGAGGAGTGAAGTGGTTCATGCAGCTGCACTGTCTGAAATTATCGTTACATTGTGGCATTGCTATAAAATGGCATTATCAAAAATATTATTAGCTTTCCAACAAATTCCCACAAACATGTTATTTCAACATTTCTAATTTTGTCACATTTACATAAAAAATTTTTTATTTCTGCTACTATGCTATATTCTGTCTGAGACACTGCAAGAGAAATGACACAATCCTTATAATCCTTATAATATGTTTATACAGCATAAATACACAAATAAAACCTTTTCATTTGTGTAAATATCCTGTTTGCGTGCTAGTTCTGTGTGCTGTATCTCTAATTTATATAAGGATTAAGCTCCAATTTCTTTCTTTTTCATTTCTCTGCTCTTTTGTAGTAATCAAACTTATATTAAATTCTATATATATATATATATAATTAGTAACGGAGAACTTTTTTTTACGATGAAAGACAGCCCTGATTGAACTAATGTTAATTTGTGCAGGTTTCAATCCCGGATTTGGGTTAAATGACACGTGGCTGAGCACCTTACCAAGACTGCAGGTTAGTTGTTCAATACTACAAAAAGCATGATCAACAAAACAGTATCACAATCCCATTCCCTGTCCCAATGGGTGACAGTGACACAGACAGGAGACACTAAGAATCTTTACCTACAAGGTGACAAAGTGACACAAACAAGACATGTGGCGGACCGCCTGGCACCCCGACTGGGTGCCTCCGCCAATCGCTGTTTCCTTAGTGCTTACCGAGTACCACAAGCACCGTACCAGACACCATCAGCACTGTAGTCCCCACTTCCAGCGTTACAGCTTGGTTGGGGTCTTGCTGTCCTCCACCCACCCTGGACCCAAGACCAGGATCCAGCTTCCAGTGGGTTGACCTTTCCTCCAAGAGTATGTAGCAGGCTGCTCTTACAAGAGCAAGTGATTATAAACCAGAGGAGTATAGTGATAAAGCAATCCTCAGGGTAGATACAGCCGTTTCCCCCACACATGAGATGGAAAAGCTTGTTGAGGGTAAGCAGGAACTTGTTTAATGGGAGCCACAACTGGCCTTATATGCAGGCCCCATGCAAGGGGCACTGCCCCCTGGGCCTGAGGGTAAAAGACAGTATAAACAATTGCACAACCACATTGGCTCTCAGATCTAGGACACTCCCATACATAATCAAATAATTCCTCCTCTGTACCTGGGAGATAATTATGGACTGTACTAACTCAATTATCTCCAGGCAGAAAAACACACTTTTTTTTTATAAAAAAAAAACCAAAATACATTTCAAACACACAAAACCACCACCACAAAAGTTACATCCCCTGATACGCCTGATCTGGATGACCAACATATCAAAAAATCACCCAGATCAGTTCAGGGCTTCAGGAATTTCCTGGAAGTCTTATTTTTTACCGACCACACTCATGTTCCCATGCCCAAAACCGTTCCAGGGCTTGCACTCTGTCTAGTTTGGTAGTTTTGGAAAACGAACAACCTACCAAACATAGTCAATGTTCTTACCCTGGAGCTTGTTCCCCTCATCCAGACAAACGATTTCACTGCACAGTGCCCTTCTAAATTGTATAGAACCGAACACAGGCGATGATGAAAGTCCAGCGGTGTTCAGGAGTTTCTGTGTCTCATTTTAGTTCCATGAGATTCATGCTCAAACACCAGTGCCTGCGTTCATGCGAACAAGATGGCCACCACCTCGTGGTTGTCCGTAGGCATTGTGGCCACCCAGATGAACAATTAGAACACTGGAGTGAGAATCTCCCAGGTGGTCCCTGGTTTGTGCGGTTGTTCGGTAGTCGAACAAGAAAATGTTAGAATAGGGGGGGAATGCAATCTAAAGAACAGAATAGCGAAAAAGGCACGAACAAGGTCTTCTATGAGCCTTTTTGCATTTCCCATAGTCCTGAGGCAGGAGGCTGGCAAACAGGCCACTCCAAGAACCAGTGGCGAGGTTACTTTCGCCACAAGGGATGCTATAATTTTTTACCTCCCTCTACAGCAAGCATGTCAAAATTCGCGGCACGTGGGCCGCATGCCGCCCAAAATGAAAATCTTTGCAGCCTAGCGAGCCGCATGTAGATGATCACTGTTAAAGCAGAGTAGGCACATGCTCTCCTTACATTGCAGGTGCCTACTCTGCTAAAATGTACCCCGCCGGGGAGACTCCAGAGAGAGGCCACACACCAGCTTCCAAAGGTATGGAGCAATCAGCAATAAATACAATTATTTGTGAGTATGTGCAAGAATGTGTAAATGTGTGTGTCTGTCTGTCAGTGTGTGTGTATGTCTGTCAGAGAGTGTGTTGGTCATTGTTGCGATGATCACGGCTGGACAGTGGAGGACCTGGAAGTGCACAGAGGCAGGCAACGCCACGTCACATTCCGACGTGACATTAACGTGCTCCACCTTCACAGGGTTTCAAGGAGTAGCGGGAGGATCCGCTTTGGCACAGGGTGCAGACTGCGCCATTGGGGACATACCATAGGCCAGATTACGGAGTCGCATATTGGCAGCGGCAATGTGTGTGGAGTTTTCTTGGTGGCTAATATTAGGTTTCTTTTTTTTTTAAATAGGGGCTGGTGTTTTGTAGAGGGGGATGCTGGGATTTAGTAAAGGGGGGGCACTGGGATTTAGTAGTGTGGGTAACTGGGATTTAGTAGAGGGGGCTGCTGGTGGGTTTTTTATACTGTACTTTAAAAAATAAGTTTCTATGAAAATGTACGTTTTTTTTGTTTTTTTGCGACCCACATAAACTTAAACCTTGTTTATTTGGCCTGTGCTAGTTTGACATGCTTGCTCAACAGGATGACAACGTTACAGACTGGTGGCACTAGAAGTCTGTCCCTACTCCTGTCACATAACACAGTGAACAAATAGGGGGCGATATGAGTCTATACCTCCCTCTACAGGATGACGTTACACAAGCAGAGGGTGCTATGAGTCGGTCGCTCTCCCAGCTTGGTGACACAGTGACACAGACAGGTGGCGCTATGAGTCTGTCGCTCTCCCAGCTGGGTGACACGGACAGGTGGCGCTATGAGTCTGTCGCTCTCCCTGTAGGGTGACACTTCGACAAAGACAGGGGGCTATGTAATTGTGTTTTCCTCTGATAGATGAACCCGCTGATATTTGTTTTATATCCATTTCTTAGTCTCTGAAAGTTCCTGCATATTTTTCGGAGTGCTCCCAATACAGCTGTGACGTGGACAGTCAGGTGGTGGCAATAGCAACTGGAGGCACTTCCAGCACTCCGGTCCTCAACCCCTTCCGCTCGCCCTTGAGGATTCCAACCACTGATAACTGCATGCCATGGTGGGTATCAAAGAATCTACTGACCACATTTACACCCAGTGATTATATTATTATTTATAAAGACAAACAAGTACAAATAACAGGCCAAGTTTACAAGAGACATTGAGGGTTAGGCCTGGACTTTTCAAAGCAGACAAATAACCAATGGGCGCTATATTCAATGGCCAGGGTCCAACTGTGTTTTAGTGTGTCAGTGGTTTTTAGACATGTGCAATTCGTTTCGGTCCGAAGATGAATTCGGACGAATTTCGGGCAATTCGGACATTCGGGTACTTCCGAATGTCTGAAGTGTCGAATTGCCGAGGTCCCCGAAGTGTCGAAGTTCCGAAGCACAGTATTGCCTAAGTACTAATATACTTACCCAGTGAAAGAAGAAGAATGTTACATTGTATACAATTTTAAATAAAAAGTATACAAACATAGCCAGGATTCAGCTGTAAGCATTTGCAACACTTACAACAATCAAGTAACATACATATTCATATAAAATCTAAGTTACTTAGCCAGTCAATGTAATGACAGGAATGAATAAGTAGATAACTCCCTAATTCCCACGATATTCTTTCAGCCAAATTTACTAATACTAAGTAAAGATTGCTCCCCCCCGGGCCCACACCCATGAGCGGCGGGTGGGGGCCCTAAATACTAATAGGGGGGGAACCTAATGTTCTCCCCCATGGCCCCCACCCCTGAGCGGTTGGTGGGGGCCCTAAATACTAATAAGGGGGGACCTGTCCTCCACCCTGGCCCCCACCTCTGAGCGGCAGGTGGGGACCCTAAATACCAATGGGGGAAGGACCTATTGTATTCCCCCCCCCGGCCCCCACCCCTGAGCAGTGGGTGGGGGCCCTAAATACTAATAGGGGGGGGCCTAATGTCCTCCCCCATGGCCCCCACCCCTGAGCGGCGGGTGGGGGCCCTAAATTGGAATAAGGGGGGGGACCTAATGTCTTCCCCTCTGGCCCCCACCCCTGAGTGGTGGGTGGGAGCCCTAAATACTAATAAGGTGGGGGGACCTAATGTCCTCCCCCCTGGCCCCCACCCCTGAGCGGCGGGTGGGGTCCCTAAATATCAATAGGGTGGGGGCCCTAAATAAAAATGTTACTCCCCCCAAGTGACTAGGGGTCCCCAAACCCCTAGTCACCACCTCTCCCCCCCAAAAAAATTAACCCCCTACCTACCCCCTTCACCCTAAAAATAATGAGGGGGGACCTTTAACTAAGTACCTGTAAAAAAAATAAAACTAACATTCAATGTTTTCTTTCTTCTAAAATCTTCTTTCTTCAGCCCCAAAAAGGGCAAATAAAAATCCATAATAACCGACACAATTAAAAAAAAAAGTGCAAAAAAAAAAATAATCCATCTTAACCCGACGAGGGCTCCGTGCAGACTGAGCTCTGCAGGGCGGGGAAAGGCTTACTAGACATGCCCCTACTCGCGGTATAGCGAGTAGGGGCAAAATTTACTAATACTAAGTAATTTTTACTTAGTATTAGTAAACTTGGCAGAAAGACCAATTTAGGTCTTTCACCCTTTTGGTAGATAACTCCCTAATACCGTGGGAATTAGGGAGTTATCTACTAAGCAGCTGCAAGAGAAGTCCCGAAGTGCCGAATTCCAGAAATTCTATAATGCTGAAGTGTCGAAGTTCTGAAGAGTTGAAGTGCCGAATTGCCGAAGTCCCAAATATTTAAAGTCCCGAATTTCGGAATGCCGAACCGAACCGAAAAGTTTCCCCATGCACATGCCTAGTGGTTTTTGTGACTCTATCTGTGAGGAATGCTGAATTTGATGGATCTCTTTTCAGCTATGTAACTATGCAACTATGTAACTATGTATCATGGTGTGTATGTGTTGCAACGACCTGACAGTGTGTCTCTATGTCAGTGTGTGTATCATGGTGTGTATGTGTTACAAGAACCTGACAGTGTGTCTCTATGTTAGTGTGTGTATATGTGTGTCTCTAACTCCATTTGTCAATGTTTTTATCTGTGTGTGTGTGTTAATGTTAAATATAGTGGTCTATATACAGTCCAAAGACTACAGTCCAAGTTCAACCCTGAAGCCCATTCTTTTACGCTGTTGATCCAGAAGATAAGCCATTTCCAATAATGCTACAAAATGGGGAAAACTCCTTCTTGACTCCATAATGCCAGTCAGAATTCTTCTTGGATCAACAACCTGCTTATGACATACTAGCGAAAATTGACTTCATACTTACCGTAATTTTCCTTTCCTGGCTATTTTTCATGGCAGCATCATTCATGGGTAGCTCCCCCCCCCAGCCAACACAGGACAGGAATTAAAAACGAATTAATCAGACTAATTAGGTATAAAAGGTCCCTCCTCCCTTCATACCCTAGTTCAATTATAAAGCACAAAATACAAAGGGTGGGAAACTTGACGCTGCCATGAAAAATAGCCAGAAAAGAAAATTATGGTAAGTATTAAGTAAATTTTCCCTATTCCTGGCTAATCATGGCAGCATCAGTCATGGGTAATACCCAAGCAGAAACATAAATATCAGGGTTGGGAAACATACAGATGCAAAGAACCAAATGTAAACGAAGAAGAAAATATTTAATTTCAACAAACGGAGGATACTGAGGACAAAACTCCCCTGACAAAAGAGGTGGAAGGAGCTGCCACATCCAGTTTATAATGTTTTATAAAGGTCATTGGAGAAGACCAGGTTTCTGCCTTAAAAATATTCTCGTATTAGCACCTCTGCCCATTTAGCCCATGAAGTGGCCAGAGCTCTTGTTGAATGAGTTTTAATTTTGGTTGGAGGAGACAAGTTCTTGTGCTGGTAGGCACTCTGATTCTAGTGATCCATCTTTTTAGGGTAGAAGCAGAGACAGCCTCACCTATTCTTGTACCAAAAGAAAGTACAAATAACTGGTCAGATTTCTTGTAGGATTTAGATATTTCCAAATAACGAACCAGACATTCCTGAACATCCAAATTATGAAGTCTGGCTTCTGTTTCGGATCCTGGATTAGGGAGGAATGATGGTAGGACCACCTCTTGGGACAGATCGAATCCAGAGACCACTTTAGGTAAGAATTCTTGCCTAGTGCATAGACATACACTATCATGAAATACCTGTGTACAAGAGTCATCCGCAGAGAAGGCTTTAATTTCGGAAATACTTTTGGCTGAGGTTATAGCTGCTAGAAACAAGGTTTTATATGTAAGCAGGGTAGCGTTCAGACTGTCCGAAGGTGAAAATGGACTTTCAGTCAAGGCATCCAAAACCATGGATGAGAGTAATTCCTTTTGGGGGGGTCCTTATTCTTACGGCCGCCTTAAAGAACCTTGCAATTAGCGGGTCCGAAGACCAGGAAAAATTGCATAGAGCAGCTAATGCCGAAGATTGTACTATTAAGGTACTAAGGCTATGACCTTTATCGAGTCCCTCTTGTAGGAATTCAAAAATTTGTGGGCTTGTTAAATTCAATATCTTTAGAAGATGCCCAATTCTTGAATGTCTCCCAGATCCTATGATAACATTTCGAAGTTGATCTTTTTCTTGACTTCAAGAGAGTATCAACAACTGCTTCAGAGAGACCCAAGTTCTTCAATCTCTCCTTTTCAAAAGCTATGCCCCTAAGTTCAGGATCTCTGGGTGGGGGCGAGAAACAGGACCTTGGGTCAGAAGATCCGACCTCAGAGGTAGTGGCCAGTGGTCTGCCAGGCTCAGCTTGATCAGTAAAGGGAACCAGGGCCTCCTTGGCCAATTCGGGATCACTGCTATTACTTTCCTTCTCCCTGTCCAAACTTTGCATGGGAAGCAATGTATCATCGGTAGAGGAGGGAATGCATACCCCAGATCGAAGATCCACCATTGTGACAGGACATCTTGCCCTGCCGACAGCTGATGTGGATGCAGAGAGTAAAATTTCAGAGTCTGGCAATTCTCTGCTGTGGCCATAAGATCGATCTGGGTACGCAGCACCGGATAGTTATTTCTCTGAATACCTTCGGGTGAAGTCTTCATTCTCTGATCTGATTAGGAAGTCTGCCGTCTTGTTCTCTGTACTCAGAAGATACACTGCTTTCAGACGCAGAAGACTGGATTTGGCCAGTTCCAGGATTGGATAAAATACTTCTAGAAGAAGCCTGTTGCGGCTGCCCCCTTGGTTGTCTGTATACAATGCCACAGCTCCGTTGTCTGCCTTTATGAGAACCCATGATTGTATAATGAAAGGTAGGAAACCTAAAATCGCCTTCTGAATAGCACGTAATTCCCTCAGGTTGGAGTGTAGAAGACTCTCTTCGTGTATCCACTTCTCTTGTTTCCATAGGGATTTGAAATGGGCACCCCATCCATAAGAACTCCATCGTTATGGTTTGCCAACTTGGTTCTTCCAGAGGGAATCCTTGAAATTGGTTTCTGTCTTCTTTCCACCAGATCAAATGCTGTTTTACTCGAGAGTAAATATATATATTTTCTGTTCCCTGTCTGCCCTTTCTTTGTTGAACTGACAAAGAAAGCATTTTTGGATTAGTCTGCATATCCATTGAGCCCATTTCACCAACCCTATTGTGGAGGTCATTGAGCCCATCAGGCTCATAAGATACCTTGCTGATGTTTGATTGATCCTTAAAGTCTTTTTGACTTTGTCTTTCATCTTGCTGACTCTTTCTGGAGACAAGTAGACCTTTGCTTTTAAGGTATCTATCACTGCCCTTTTCTTTGGGAGGGCGTAAGTGCGCTTTTTTCTTTGTTTATCTGCCAACCATGGGCTTGTAGTATTTCCATGACAACTTGAGTGTAAAGAATACCTGTCTGATGAGAAGGACCCACTATCAGTATATGGTCTAAATCAGTGGTAGTCAACCTTTTTCTACCTACCGCCCACTAAAGCATCTTTCTTGATGGACAAATTTCCTTACCGCTCACCAGTTTTCGCGCAAGTGCGGAATATTTTTTAGAAAGGAGGGCGTTTTAAAAAAAAAAAAAAAATGTACGTACATTTATCTTTTTATTTTTACTTAATGCATGTTTATAATTTTTTAAACTTTATAAAGTTTAATGAGAAAACAAAGTAAATTGAAATTACCTTTACTAGTGATTAATGGGATCCTTGAGGTTGATGCTGCAGACTAAATATTTGATATCTGGTTCGATTTTCGTCTGAACAAACGAAGGTCTCCTCTTTCGGTGATATTCAGACGACTTCTCTGTTTGCGCATAATATGATTTCTCATCTGTGTGTCAGCTCCCCTCCTCAATTACCCTCCCCACTTTTTTTTTTACTTTTTTCTATTTTCTAACCTTACTTATAGCAATGCCCAGTAGGAAGGCTGAGCTAGGTAGCCCACTTACTATTACTTACTATAGCCCACTATAACAGACAAACACACATACATACAGACACACACACAAGACACACATACATACAAAGAAACATACATACAAACAGACAGGCACACATACATACAGGCACACAGACAGGCACACACACACAAGACATACATACAAAGACACACACACATACAGACACAAGACATACATACAAAGACAAGACACACATACATACACACATACAGACACACACACAAGACATACATACAAAGACACACATACAGACACAAGACACACACACATACAGACACAAAACACACATACATAGACACATACATAAGACACACATACATACAAAGACAAGACACACACAACACATACATACAAAGACAAGACACACACACACACACAAGACATACATAGACACACACATACATACAAAGACACATACAAAAGACACACATATATACAAAGACACATACACACACATACAGACACATACATACAGACAGACATACATACAAAGACACACACACACACACAAGACATACGTACAAAGACACATACACACAAACAAACACACATTATATTTAAGTCACCCTCCTGTTTCCTACCTTTAAGGTACAGGAGGGTGACTTTCCCTGTGGTCCAGTGGTGGCTCACGTGGATGGGAGTCAGAGTTCCCACTCTGACTTCCTCTGCTTCCTTCCGCGCTGTCTGTGTGTTATCTGGGAGGAGTGATGTGTAGTCACTTCCTCCCAGCGTTTGATGTAATCACAGGGGGCCTGGTCGCGCTGTTAAAGTGCCCAGCACTGACCGGGCCCCCTTACAATCCACATCCATCGGGTGGCCCTGACAGCATGGGCCACCTGATGAAACCCTTGTACGGCGGCCCCGGCCTGCGCAGCAAACTGCCGGGCAAATGGTGATGGCAGTACCTGGTCGCAGGGGTACCGCCGGCTCGCACCCACCCAATCTCTCCAAATGAGGAAATCCGCCCACCTGGAATCCTGAAACGCCCACTAGTGGGCGGTAGGGACCAGGTTGACAACCCGTGGTCTAGATGAAGGGAACAAGCTCCAGGGTAAGACTATTGACTGCGTTCGGTAGTTTGTTCATTTGAATACTACTGAACTAGACCGGCCGCAAGCCCTGATTCTCTGGAACTGTTTTGGCCATGAAACTATGCTTGCGGCCGGTCAAAAAGAGACTTCCAAGAAACTTTTGAACCCCTGCTCTGATCTGGGTGATTTTTGGATTTGTTGTTCACCCAGATCAGGGCTATCCGGGGATGTAACATTTTTGGGGGTATGTTATGTTTTGGGGTACCTTCTGAACTTTATGAAAATGAGTTTTTTCTGCCTGGAGCTAATTAAGTTACTTTTATCTCCCAAGCAGAGGGGAGGGATTGTGTGCTGTACATGGGTGTGTCACAGACTGTATGTTTGTTCTGCTTGGATTATGTCCTTTGTGTTCCTGTGCCCCATTAGGTCCAGGTGGTGTTCCTCTGGCCTGGAGAATTGTATAAAAGCCAACCTGAACCATTAAAGCTCAGATCATCTTGTACCTTCATGAAGTTTCGTCTCATGTTTGGAGGATTTGAGAACTACACTCTGGGGGATTGCTATAATCACTATACTCCCCTGAGTATGATCACTAGCTCTTCTAAGAGCTGTTCCTGATACACTCTCAGGTCTACCCACTGGATGCTGGATCCTGGTCTTGGGTCCAGGATGGGTGGAGGACGGTGAGAACCCAACCAAGCTGCGGAGGTTCGTGGGGTTTACAGTGGTTATGGTGTTTCAGTGCAGTGTTTATGGTACTCGCAATTGACGGAGGTACCCGGTCGTGGTGCAAGGCGGTCTGTCACAAATACAGTGCCCTCCCCTTAATTTAGAACAGTGCTGCCCCCCCACTACTCTAATACACTGCCCCACTTCCTTCCCCAATTTAATACTGCTCCCCAATTTAATACACTGGCCCCCTTCCTTCCCCAAATTAATACACTGCCCATTACCTCCCCCAAATTAATACTCTTGCCCCCTCACTCCCACAAATTTATACACTACCCACTCCCTCCCCCAATTTTATCACATGACAGGAGGCTTCATATTTTGCATAACTTTCTTTACTTTATGCCTCCAGCAGCACAAGTCAATCAGAAAAAACTTTAAACCAATCAGTAACCGGCATCACATCCATATATAAAGCCCTGACAGACACATGACTTCCTCTTTCTTTGCTGCTCCAGCCAAGGCACAGGTCAGAGTATTTTGCTCCAAACTGTTTTACTGATATTGCAAATTGTCATTAGTTAATCATTTATTGCTTAACATTCAGTTTGCTCCAAACTGTTATTTTATTAATATTGCTATGGTCACTGTAGTTAGACACCTTATGCTAGACATTCAGTTTTAATCCAAACTGGTGTTCTGGATATTGCAATGGTCACTTTAATTAAACTTTTTTACTTGACTTTCAGTTTGCTCCAAGTGTTTTTATTAATATTGCTATGGTCACTTTAGTTAGATTTTTAATGCTAGACATTCAGTTTTGCTCCAAACTGTTTCTGGATATGCATGGCCACTTTAGCTAAACTTTATTAGCTTTTCCTGCATTTTGACCTAATCAGTTTTCATTATTTTGCACTTGCCTTCCATTTGGACTTGTATAGTGTGATATTCTCCCTGTTACCCTTCCCCCGAATTAACCCTGTATTTTCTGCTTTATTAGCCTGTTTGGTTTTCTATTGCTGGCACCTTTTCTTTCCTATGCTTTACTCTGGTCTCGCACGGATCGCAGCGTTTTACCGCGATCGCGTTTTTTTTTTATTCACTGGTGCTGGGACTTCAGGGCAGGTCTCTGGGGGTTCGGGATGTCGGGGGGACTCTGTTCCATACCGGCGGGCCGCGATCGTATCCTCGATCGCGGGCCACACAGCACTTTTACGCGCGAATGGCGGCCATCTTGAATCTCGCGGCACTCGCGAAATTCACGTCGCCCATGTCGTTTAGCTAGATCTGTACTGTTTAAAATATTTTTCCTGCGAAATAAAAGTTTTACAAGTACTTTTGAGCTCAATACTGTTACATATCATGGGCATGTGGAATAAAGGTTTTCTATGTACCTTTTCTGGAAGATTAGGAATGAACTATTCACTGCTGAGCTCTATACTGTCATATTTCATTGGCATGTGAAATAAAAGTTTTATATGTAACTCTGCATGAATATGTAGGACATGTATGTACGTAGCGGGGAATGTGGTGCGACTAAGAGTAAGGAGACTACCCCAATTCTCCCCCCAATAATGACAAACAACGAATATTGGATGAAACAGGCCACAGCATTTATTAAACTTACAACTGTAGGACTCATCCGAACTTTATTATTTTTCTTTAATTCAAATATAAATAAACAGATAAATATATATACATACTATAATTAACATATAAATTAACAAATAAATTACACTTATTGCCCTACGGCCTCCAACTTAAATAACCGTCCTTGCCAACGAACTTAACCAGGTGCCTATGCACCAAAACTTTACCCACTGGTGTCTCGCCTCCCCCCTCGTCCAAACCAAAAATTCCCATCATCTTAAATGCTCTACCACCAGCCGGCTTTTTGCTCGGTGGGCACGTCCTATTCGGTAACTTAAAAGTTTACCTTACAGAGCAGGGGATGTTGAGACCCACCATGTCCATCTCCTGACATTCCATCTGCTCCCCAACCCTGTTGGCAAGGAATCGCTCCCCGCTAGCTGTGACGGAACAAAAACAGAAAATTAGGGTGGGTGGGAAGTTGTTTGCTGGCCAGAATCCCAAAAGGCACTGAGGTAAGATGATCCCTGCCCCACTACAAACCCATAACCACTCCCCTAAACACATATAGCCAATCACTAGCACCATCCCCACACTCATACATGTGCCCTTGTCCGTTTAGCTATGCTGACTCCCCAGGGCCTGATCCCTGCTGTGTGCATTTAGGGGATGCAGTACTCTGCATGTCTGCTGGCAGTTTGCTCTATTCTGTTCTATACAACTGACATGCTGAATAACAGTTTTATTTTACATCTGGAGGATTATGAATGGACTGTTCCCTGCTGTGGGCATGTAGTGGATGCATTACTCTATTAAATAATGCTGATAACATACTCAGCTCCCTACCCCCACTGGACCTCCCAACCACTGGATACACTCCTTCCCCACAGGGATACACGTCCCAGGACACAGTAGTGGAGGCACATAACGAGTGATTAACAGGGGTGACCCCCCTTATGCTGGGTGACCCCCAAGCATGGCAGACACCTCTCCAAAGTGACATTGTGGTACAGGGGTGACCCCCCCTTACACTGGGTGACCCCCAAGCGAATCTGGGTCCTGTCCTAGTGACATACATATACTGGTGTGAAGCCCCTACGCTGAATGAACCCCAAGCGAATCTTATACCGGTACTAATGACATACATATACTGGGGGGAACACCCACACCCTAGGACGGGCTCATATCCACGGAGTACGATCTGTTACTATATGCACAGACCGGGACACACTGGATACATGTAAATCGACAGAGCCAGGAAGGAGAGCTCACGGTGCTGCCAATTCTCCACAGTACTATATCCCATAACGGTGACCCCCTTGGATAATTTGGAGGCTACCATACCTCCCCATACACGGGCTATGTCCCAACATTACTGACCGCTCATCCCGGTCTTATTGATGGTGACCCTCTCCTCAGACCATGGAACTGATTGAAACAATTCTGGGTGACCCCCAGTCGTACGTGGAGGCCCACTAAGTGGCAATAAGTGTACTACCATACCTGATACCTGTTCGGTACCGCACAGACCGAAAGAGTGTCCCAACATGCCATAAGACCCCCAAGCGAGTCTTACTCCGGTGCTAGTGGCATACGTACAAAGGGGTGACCCCCCTGCCGGATGGGGTAACCCCCCGCGCCCTATCTAGTGTACACCCTGTCACTAGATGCATGTATTCCGACACCTCTATGTTTCAACTGGGGGATCCGTACCTCCTTCCCTTAATCGAGAAGGAGAACTCACAGTGCTGCCAAAACTCCACAATTCTAGGCCATATAAGGATGAACCCCTTGGATTATACATATTGAGGCTTTCACGTCTCCCATACTCGGGCTACATCCCAACATTGCAAACCGCTCATCCCGGTCTTACTGAGGGTGTCCTCATTCTCAGACCACTCCCCGGATCCTGTGAAAGTGGTACTGATTGATCGAAATTCTGGGTGACCCCAGTTATACGCGGAGGCCCACTGAGTGGCAATAAGTGTACTGTTGTACGATCCTGTCTCCCACAGACCGAAAGAGTGTGAACCAACATGTCGGACTTCCCTCAATATCCCCGACCGATTTTCAGGTGAGGATTAAGGCCCCCATGGCAGCTTTGGGGGAAGAAGTCCTCTCCAATATGCCGACTAACAACCCATCCGACAGAGCGGGTGCAACGGCACCAACACCAATGGAAGCTAGAGATACCGACAACCTTATCATCTAAACACCATTGGAAGGGCTCCAACGCGGCTTCTCCAAAGGGGAAGGGAACACCCCAACTTACCGGAGCCGTCTCTCAGAACGTCCTGTCCATTAATCATCTCAGGCTGCATCATCAGGGGACGAGGACTTCATCCCTCCCCCTTCTCTGGAGATCATGAAAGAATGGAGAGCAGAAGAGTCTCCATCTGAAGAGGTAAAGTGACAAGACCCGCCTAGCAAGAAAGGTTTTGCTTTGGCACACTGGACACTCTTGTTTTGACTCACGCACCATCCGACACCCAGGGTCATCCGAATGGGGTTTACCGGAGCACCGGGCACACTTTGCCCACTTCTGGCTCAGGAGGCCTATGGGAAAAGAAGTCCGAGACAAGCTCAGGGTGGAATGCCCACGCCCTCTATGACCGAACAAGATAGTCCTCACCATGGAGCTTGGTATCATTGTGGTGATGTTTATGTCCCGATCAGGCTGGGGTCCATGTAAAGGTGTAGGAGAAGGACTCAAAACGAGTTAGGATAAAATACTGGACATGATCAGCCCCAGGAAAAAATTCTATATTTTGCGGACCTGACCCCACCCAAGACTTACCTCTAGAAGCTCACGATGTGAAGGAATGGGTGCAAAGGGCAATATGTAGGTTGGGGAACGCAAGCCAGACAGGTGCACAGAACGGCGTAAAGCAGCCCGATTAAAGATGGATTTCAAACTATTGAAGTTAGGGACGAAAGAGCGAGGACCTCAGGTGGATGGACTATTGTTTGGAGAACCATTTATCTCAGCAACGGTTTGGTAGTAAGGAAGAAGACAGGAGACTATTGCCCAGTCATCAACCTACGTCAACCCATTGGTTTTGGGGCGTACCGACAACTCAAGAAGAAAGGGGACAACTCTTAGGGGATCTACTCCTCGAAATGGGTTCGCAAGATTGGATTTGAAGGGCAGTTACCTACTGGTTCACATGGTGCGTCATGAAGTTTCTGAAGCCGGTTCCAAGTGATTCAGTTCCTCTACTTCGGAATAGATTCCACCTTGGGTGGATTCCACCTTCCCACATCATTGATAGCGACGATTCGTAATGAAATTCAACGGGTAAGGCGGAAAGGCACCATAACCCTTTGACTATTTCCCAGGACCGCTTCACTACCGGGCTAGACAGCGACCGAAAGCTCACTGCCTGAGATCAGGACACACCTCTGAAATTGGGATCAGAATAGCAAAGACTTCAATAGTACTCATTACCGCGGTAAAGGAGTCAAGCGGGGCACCCAGAATGGTTGTCCTTAATCGGGATCATCCTCTGCTCCTTCAGTTTTAACTTGCCTTCGGGTAGATCCAAAAGGAAAACATCATCCATTGATAATGCAGGAGCGTCTGGAGTTGGTGGATTGGTGTCTTTCAAGGGAGACTGGTATGTCAAGGGACTATCGCAACCAACTAGAGACCTATTATGGGACTCATGGACACCAGGTATTCCCCAAAATAACTTATCCGCATGGAACACCTGGAGTTCGCTGGTGTATGGGAAGGGACTGTGATCCCTTTATTACCCTTATCTCCTTGATGCTGAATCTTTATCATACCTTTTCACTACGGGCCGATCGGACCATTCCATTAACGGGATACTTCCGCGATTTCGACAACGCATAGTACAATTCATGACACTCCGGTCGATCAGGAGCCTTTTATATGCCACTTTCTGCGGGGTATCAAACTGTCCAGAACCATGCGTCAAAGTATCACTGTTGTGGGACTTTGATTTGGTTCTTTTGGAAATAGTCAGATAACACAGACCTATCCCTCCGTCAGCCGTCAGCCATAGTCACGGTACTTTTAGGTCTTTTCGTCGGGTATCAGATGTACTGGAGTTCGACGTAGACAGTCTTTTCGGTATCACCGGAAGGAATGATTTCTATGGTGTCTCGTAGAACTAAATCTTATCCGCGTCCGTATCTTACCCTGTTCCCGACGGTTTCCCAGTCTTTGTGCAGTTAAAGCGGTACTTCGTTACATGGAGATCACGACAACACTTGGATTGTCACATTCAGGACATCTGCTGGTCTTATACAAGCCAGTTACCTTGAACACTCTGTCTAGATTGGTTCATTGGTTGTTATCGCTAGCAGGGGTGGAGACGTGTTTTGGGTACTCATTCGGTACGAGGCGTGGCTGCTTCTCAGGCCTTCAAGGGGGGCCCTCTATATTTTACAGCGACAAATTGGACACGGATAGGCTACATCCGTATATTTCTTTTCGTCAACCACACACGCATCCTTCTCGCTCATACCACAGCTTTAAAAATGCAAAATATGAAGCCTCCTGTCATGTGATAAAATTGTAGATTATGCTAACGTAGTGTACCTATAATCTTAATTTTAATAATGACAGGAGGCAAATATTTTCCCTCCCTGTTTCCCTCCCTATACTCTGGAAAATTCTAATATTCTAGTTTGTCATTTTCTCAGTGTAATTATAAGGTTTTGGTATTTCAGTATGTAATGGACCGTTTTGCACACAAGGGGTAAAAACCATTTAGGCGATCGTCCCCTTTTCAGCGATGCAGGCACAGCTACTGTAGAACACCAAACTCACGAACCGCCAATAAGGGAATGCTCCAAACTCCCGAACGGCATATAATATAGCACTCCAAACACACGAACTGGAACCATACGAATCGCTGCTAGCAGACGAATAGGAAAAGCATCCAAGCAGCTTACACTCCTAGTAATCAGTCTCTATCAGCGTTTAGTAAATCCCCCCCAAAGACGAGACAAGGCTCCGTGTTCTGGGTCAAGCAGTGGTCTGTTTAATGAGGGCTACCTGCCCAGTATTTATGCAGGTCTCTCACCTGGTGGACACTCCCCTAGGGGACCAAATGGGAGACTGTGACAAAAGACAGACAAGTAGACAAATAGGACACACAGTCACCTTATATTCCCACAATGCATCCTGGCTTCCTCCCCTTTGCCTTGGAGATAATTGAGAAGTAATTCAATTATCTCCCAAGACAAAGCAAATCGCCAGTATGCACGTGGGGATACTAAACCATGAATTACTATTAAAATACACAGTATGACACAGGTTACAATAAAACCATACATTTAACATATCCCCAGATAGCTCAGGTCTGAGCGCACATTATTAAGCGAATGGTGCTCAGACCACACGAATACAGTGTAATCGCCATGGAGCCAAAGTCTTTACACAGTCAGTTCTCATGCGAATGGGCTCCATGGGATTCCTATCTGGGGTATAACATAGTCAAGTAAAACTACCGAACACCGGGCCGTTCGTGCACTTTCACCGAACAAGAAGGGAGGTCGGCGGCTTCAGCGGTGTTCGCACAAAACTGTGTCCGATTTTAGTTCCATGAATTGAGCATCGAACACCGCTGTGCTTTCGCGGGTTTAAAATGGCTGCGACCTTGTGTTCGTTATACGAATGGCGGCCACCCAGCATTCGTTAATTAAGCTGCGGTTAACCGCAGCTTCAGGGAGGCTAATTGCCGGCACACTCCAGCTCCCAGGTGGTCTAGTCATTCGTGCGGTTGTTCGGTAGATTGAATCTACCAAACACCAGGCAGAAAAGCACGAATAAGTCTATTCTGCAGGGAAAAAGATGTCTTTTAACATGGGGCCATAGTCCAAAGGCAGCAGGCGAGCAACCAGGCTTCTCCAATGCAATGTGGCGAGATTGCTCTCGTCACACAGTATATTTATGGGCTGCTTATCTGGTTCATGTGTTAGATCCGTGTTGATTATTAAGTATACTATGGTTGTTTAATGTTTCAGTATATTAACTTAATATAACTATAGATACGTATAGTACTGGATTTAATGTGAAACAGTTGGTTTCCATCACCTTTCACGTATTTCTGTTCTTGTCAGCGTAATCATCATAGATGGATTTGACAAGATAAAGCTGGAAGGTTTCAAGTTTAGTTTCAAGTTATGTGCTACACGTTACTCAGGACTGTTATTTGAATTCCCTGACGTTATAATAGACTGTTTTTCGCATCAAATAAAGAGGAAGTCATGTGTCTGTCAGGGCTTTATATATGGATGTGATGCCTGTTACTGATTGGTTTAAAGTTTTTTTCTGATTGACTTGTGCTGCTGGAGGCATAAAGTAAAGAAAGTTATTCAAAATATTCGCCTCCTGTCATTATTAAAATTAAGATTATAGGTACACTACGTTAGCATAATCTACAATTTAATACACTGCCCTCCTCCCCTCTTCCCCTACCTTAAGATGAGCCACCTGTCCTCCAGTTCCAGGCCAGCTCTTCTCTGCTCAAGCAGACCAGACACTCCGAGCAGTAGAAAAGGGGGAGTGGCTGAACTGCTCTGCAGACAGACAGCCACACTGCCCTCTTGTGGCCATGGGAGAAAAGGCAAGAATCAGACAGGAAATATCTTTCCTTTCTTGCGGCTGGTTGCAGCCACAGCACAAAGTGACCCCAGGGCAGCCGGGCCACAAATATGTTCATTGTGGTCCGCAAGTTTGACATGCTTGATTTACAGCTACTCTGCCCTTAAGCGGCAGGTTGCTTTGTGAGTGTGTTGTTGTAGCGAAATGGATTTGTATAACATATTTTCCTACAGAGCACCGCAATTATGGAATAACCTCAGGGACACAGTCAAATCTTCATTTAATCTAAAATCTTTTAAGAGATCTATGGCAATATACCTCAGCACAGAATGCACCTGTCATGGCTGAATATATTTATCACCTGTTATGTGTTAAATTTATACATGTATGTGTATATATATATATAGTTTGTATATTGTATTTTTGTAATATTGCAATGTTTTGTGGACCCAGGACATACTTGAAAACGAGAGAAATCAATGTATCCATCCTGGTAAAATATTCTATAACTAAAAAATGAATTCTTAACATGTATAGCTTGGAGGAAAGACGAGACAGGGGGGATATGATAGAAACATTTAAATACATAAAGGGAATCAACACAGTAAAGGAGGAGACTATATTTAAAAGAAGAAAAACTACCACAACAAGAGGACATAGTCTTAAATTAGAGGGACAAAGGTTTAAAAATAATATCAGGAAATATTACTTTACTGAGAGGGTAGTGGATGCATGGAATAGCCTTCCAGCTGAAGTGGTAGAGGTTAACACAGTAAAGGAGTTTAAGCATGCGTGGGATAGGCATAAGGCTATCCTAACTATAAGATAAGGCCAGGGACTAATGAAAGTATTTAGAAAATTGGGCAGACTGGATGGGCCGAATGGTTCTTATCTGCCGTCACATTCTATGTTTCTATTCCCCTGTTGTTCGGCTGACTGTACCCCTGTACCTCCCAAACAGAACATGTATGGTCCCCCTTTTTATAACTCCACGAACACCAACCACACCTGGCTGTTAACCACAAATGAGTGGTGGCTGCCATTTGTATATACAAATACACATGTCAATGTGTGTATAATTGTGCGGATTCCTGGGTGTGCTCACATGGGTCCTCAACAGGGATTAATCGAGAATAAGTCCAGGTTTTGAGGAAACAATAACAATTGTATTAGTGAATAAAGATAACCGGTTAGTTGGTTTCCTAAAGAGTTGTGTTTTAAAGCGACACTCCACTCAGAGTCTGGACAGCAACCCAACATAGGTGCATTTTGTGGCGAAACCGGCCTCGCCACGTGTCCTTGGAGGGGGCTGCTTGCCCGCCTCTTGCCTTTGGACTATGGACCAGACTTTATGTGAATGTGTTAACCCAGATAGCTATGCCATGGAGCCCATTCGTGTAGTTAAAGACTTCGGCTCCACGGCAATTGAACTGTGTGAATTGGATCTGAGCGCTATTCGGTAGTTTTGTGCGCTCAGATCCCAGCTATCTGGGGATATGTGACATGTCTTTGTTTTATGTATAAAAGGTGACTTTATGTATTTTAAAGTGTTTTGTGTCTTTTGCAACCATGTGCTTAATGGAGTCTTGTGTCTGTCCTGGGAGATAATTGAATTACTTGTCTCCAGGATAGAAGACTCTGAAACTGCTTTGGGCCGGAAAGCCATGCTTCATTTAGTCACAAAGGACTTTCCGTTAACTTTTGAACCCCTGGTCTGATTCGTGCCATTTTTTAATATGTTGTTCCCCTGAATGGATTGATTATGAAAATGTATGTTTTATGTTTGTGACATGTATATTTTAGAAGTTAGAAATATTGTGTAAAAACTGTATTCCTCTGCAGGTGATAATGAGATTACCCATTGTGTTCAGTAATCATATCACCTGCAGAGGGGAGGATTTTGTGTGGGAGTGTCTGGGTGTATTGTACGGATTGATTGGTTGTTTTGTAACGCCCTGTGGGCTGTATTATGTTTGTGGATTGGGAATAAAAGAGACTGTATGTGACAGTACAGGGAGTTCCTGTTTTAACCCTCAAAGTGAAGTGTCGTCTCATTATTGGGGGAAGGATTCATTGTATGTTGTTCCAGTTTGACTGCTAGGAAAGTAAACCTATTCGTATGGTTCCTATTCAACTGTCTACAGCATTCATATGCTTGAGAGAAGGTATACGCTTCTCTGGTTCGGTGATTGTGGTGTCTGCTGCAGTGCTTGGAGTCCTCAGGAAGCGCTAGGAGCATCTTTCAACGGAGGTACCCAGTCGGGGTGCCAGGCGATCCGTTACACATTTCATAGGTTTTAGACTCATATCATGATGTGTCTGGGCAGTTGGGAGGTATATAGGTGTCCAGCCAGGCCTGGACTGGCCATCGGGCACACCGGGCAAATGCCGGTGGGCCACAGTGTCAATGGGCCAAGGCCGGCAGGGGTGGTCACAGGCTCTCCCCTGCTGGTCTATGCATGGCCGGCACTGTCAGAGCCCCTGCCCTGATGTTTTCAATGACGGTCCGGTGGGGAGATCAAAGATCTCCCTCACCGGCCCACTTGAGTAGACATGTGGCTGGGGAGGGAGGGGAGGACCCGGCGGAGCTCTATCTTGCAGCTCCGCCGGGTTCCTCTCGCAAAATCTGGAGTGTTACCATGATCTCGCGAGAGTGAACTCTAGCCCGCAGGCTAGAGTTCACTCACCACTAGGACCACCAGGGATTGTGTGAGAGTGCCGGTCTCCCGCTCTCAGGCAAGGTAAGACGGGAGGGGGGGATATAATGCTTGCTTTATTTTTTTTTATTTTATTTCCAACCCCCCCAAACACACAATCCATTCTAACATTCACACTCAGCACCCTCACAGAAATCACACACAGCACCCTCACACAAATCACACACAGCACCCGCTCACACACACAAATCACACTCAACACCCTCTCACACACACAAATCTCACACAGCACCCTCACACAAATCACACACAGCACCATCACACACAGCACCCTCACACAAATCACCCTCACACAAATCACCCTCACACACACACAGCACCCTCACACACAAAGCACCCTCACCCACAGCACCCTTACACAAATCACACACAGCACCCTCACACACAGCACCCTCAAACACAGCATCCATCACACACACATACTGCACCCTTCACATACACACTACACCCAAACATATTCATAATAAATAAATATATATATATATATATATACATATACATATACACACACACACACACTACAGCACCCCTCACACACATATGCACTCCTAAACACATTACATTCCAAACACACACTAGATCCCTTACCCAACTCTGGATCATATACACACATTAGATCCCTTTATACACTCTGAATCCATTATATACACACACTCACTAGCTCTCCTACACATTCTGGGTCCTTCAAACACACACTAGACTCCTGTATACACACACACACACACTGCACCACACACGCACAGACACTACATTCCTAACATGCAGACTCTAGATCCCTTATACACACACACTAGATTCCTTGTAAACAAACACATACTACACCCCTAAACACACTCTCCACAACCCCTACAAACACTACATCACCTATATACAGACACACACTATAGCCTGTATGCACACACTTACTACATCCCCTATACAAACATTCTCTACAGCCCCTAGCCACATATGCATTACATTACACCACAAACAACACGACTAAAACCGACCTTATCACACAATACCACACCACAATAAGCTCACTCTACACACACACACAATACCACAAGCAGGCTCCAAACACATGCACAATACTCTTTCCTGGCATTTTTGTCTCCTGGTATCCATTTATAGAGACACCAGAGACAAGTTGCAAGGAAACAGTGCAAGCATGTTATTAAATTTGCTTGCGCTGTGCAGAACAAATACAGGGCTTTTTTCTCATGCTGGAGCTCTTCAGCAGAGCTCTGCGCATGGTCTGCCCTGGAAGAGCATTGAACCAACATGCTCACTTTGAGAGGGGGCGTGTTTGTCATTGGTGATGACAAAACACACATCCTCTGCCCCGCCCCCTTCTTAGTGGGCCGCTGTGGTGGAAAAATGCCCGGGACAAATTTTTCTCCCAGTCCGGCCCTGTGTCCAGCAAAGTAAAGGTCAATCTGGAATCTTTATTGATTTAGTATCTGTTACTGCCGTTCAAGTCATCGTGTCACACTCTACATCTTGTGTTTATAATAGTCTGTCCTGTCATTCCAGGTACAATAACGCCTTCCTCTTCTACTTAATCTACAAGTCTGGAGCCAATAATGGCAAACAGCAGCATCAGCCATCACAACCGCAGGCCATGCCAGAACCTGCCCCCGAGCCTGCATTCGAACCCAACATGCGCCGAAAGAAGAAGCAGGGAGGGCGCAATAATAAGAAATACAGATAGATCTACTATATCCATATTACCCTCATTACTTACCAATGACAAATAAACTTCCCCTCCTAAAACTGTGCGTATATCACGTCTTTACCTGCTTACTGAAGAAACACTCACTAATGTGTGAAATGTTAGGCATTCAAAGTGAATTGCAAACACAGACACAAAACACATAGAAACACACATTGCTGCACACCAATACCTATTAACGCACACATAAACAGATACACACTGCCAAACCCACCCATTAGGAGCACAGTGCTCTGCATGCAGTCTGAGGGGCTGGGGGGCAAGCACAGATCACTGCATTCAGTCTGGGGGGGGCAAGCACAGATTGCTGCATTCAGTCTGAGGGGCGGGATCAAGCACAGATCGCTGCAGTCAGTCTGAGGGGCGGGATCAAGCACAGATCGCTGCAGTCAGTCTGAGGGGCGGGATCAAGCACAGATCGCTGCAGTCAGTCTGAGGGGCGGGGCCCAGCACAGACCACTGCATTCATTCTAAAGGGGGGCAAGCACAGATTACTGCGTTCAGTCTGAGGGGGGCCAAGCACAGATCACTGCATTCAGTCGGGGCAAGCACAGATCGCTGCATTCAGTCTGGGGGCAAGCACAGATTACTGCGTTCAGTCTGAGGGGTGCCAAGCACAGATCGCTGCATTTCAGTCTGAGGGGGGGCAAGCACAGATCTCTGCATCAGTCAGAGAGGGGGGCAAGCACAGATCGCTGCATTCAGTCTGAGGGGGCAAGCACAGATCGCTGCATCAGTCAGAGAGAGAGGGGCAAGCATAGATTGCTGCATTCAGTCTGGGGGAAGCACAGATTGTTGCATTCAGTCTGAGAGGGGGGGGCAAGCACAGATCGCTGCATTCAGTTTGAGGGGGGCAAGCATAGATTGCTGCATTCAGTCTATGGGGAAGCAAAGCACAGATCGCTGCATTCACTCTGAGGGGGGTAAGCACAGATCGCTGCATTCAGTCTGACGGGGGCCAAGCACAGATTGCTGTATTCAGTCTGAGAGGAGGGGCAAGCACAGATCACTGCATTCAGTTTGAGGGGGGCAAGCATAGATCGCTGCATTCAGTTTGAGGGGGGCAAGCACAGATTGCTGCATTCAGTCTATGGGGAGGCAAAGCACAGATCGCTGCATTCAGTCTGAAGGGGGGCAAGCACAGATCGCTGCATTCAGTCTGAGGGGAGGCAAAGCACAGATCACTGCATTCAGCCTGAGGGGGGGGATCAAGCACAGATCACTGCATTCAGTCTATGGGGAGGCAAAGCACAGATCGCTGCATTCAGTCTATGGGGAGGCAAAGCACAGATCGCTGCATTCAATCTGAGGGGGGGCAAGCACAGATCGCTGCATTCAGTCTGAGGGGGGGCAAGCACAGATTGCTGTATTCAGTCTGAGAGGAGGGGCAAGCACAGATCGCTGCATTCAGTTTGAGGGGGGCAAGCATAGATCGCTGCATTCAGTTTGAGGGGGGCAAGCATAGATTGCTGCATTCAGTCTATGGCGGGGCCAAGCACAGATTGCTGTATTCAGTCTGAGGGGGGGTAAGCACAGATGGCTGCATTCTGTCTTGGGGAGGCCAAGAATAGATCGCTGCATTCAGTCTGAGGGGGGGGCAATACACAGATCGCTGCAATCTGTCTGAGGGGCGCAATCAAGCATAGATCGCTGCATTCAGTCTGAGGGGAGGGATCAAGCACAGATTGCTGCATTCAGTCTGAGGGCTGACTCCTAGCACAGATCACTGCATTCAGTCTGAGGGGGCGGGATCAAACAGATTGCTGCATCCAGACTGAGGGGCGGGGCCAAGCATAGATCGCTGCATTCAGTCTTAGGGGGCGAGGCCAAGCATAGATCGCTGCATTTAGTCTGAGGGGGCGGGATCAAACACAGATTTCGGCATTCAGTCTTAGGAGGCGAGGCCAAGCATAGATCGCTGCATTCAGTCTTATGGGGTGAGGCCAAGCATAGATCACAGCATTCAGTCTTAGGGGGCGAGGCCAAGCATAGATCGCTGCATTCAGTCTGAGGGGGTGAGGCCAAGCATAGATCGCTGCATTCAGTCTTAGGGGGCGAGGCCAAGCATAGATCGCTGCATTCAGTCTAAGGGGGCGAGGCCAAGCATAGATCGCTGCATTCAGTCTTAGGGGGCGAGGCCAAGCATAGATCGCTGCATTCAGTCTTAGGGGGCGAGGCCAAGCATAGATCGCAGTTCATAAAATAATTTTGAGACTGGAGAAGTAATTATAAGTTGCATTTTCAGTTATATTGGGGGAACATATGTTGGTTTGAGCTATTTCAATTGCTTTTGTTTGATTTGTTAATTGAAAACAGCTGAAAGTCTGTACATTTTGACAAAAAACCTGATTTTCAAATGGGGTTGAATAATTTTTATTACAACTGTAATTATCAAAAATGGTAACATTATAAATACACATGTGCACAATAACTGGAAATGTCTATTTAGAGGCACCTTAAATAAACATACACACTGTAACCTCCATATTGAACATGGCGCTGAGAATAAATGATCGGCAGGATCAGAAGCGGTTCAGTCACCATTGAGGGAGGCTTGGACGCGGCAGGACCCCAGGTATGAGGCAAACCATATGAAAACGGTATCCTCTCACGGGGGATGGCGCCAAGTTACTCTTACCACCACAACCACTACATTGGAGTTAACCCTTTGACCCTAGTGTTACCTCAGTCTATTGAGTATGATAATGTGAGTTTACTGAGTTGGGGCCATGTTTTACGGAAGCATGTTATCTCACTCCACTGGCGTAACTGACAGATAAAGGTCCATTTAGTTCTAACCATAAAACGCCACATTTTATCTGTTAAAAAATCTTTATGATTTATACTCCTTAAAGGGGAACTGTCACTTTCTGAGAATTTTTATATTATGTTTCCTTATCCCCTGTATGAAGCAAATATTTTAGAATAGTTTGTCTTACTACCTGGGATCTGCCAGGTGCTGCCCCTTGCCTCCACTACCTCCAACAGAGAGCCAGAAACGCCTCTTTAGGAGCTTCCCTTCACTATACAGGGAGTGCAGAATTATTAGGCAAGTTGTATTTTTGAGGATTAATTTTATTATTGAACAACAACCATGTTCTCAATGAACCCTAAAAACTCATTAATATCAAAGCTGAATATTTTTGGAAGTAGTTTTTAGTTTGTTTTTCGTTTTAGCTATGTTAGGGGGATATCTGTGTGTGCAGGTGACTATTACTGTGCATAATTATTAGGCAACTTAACAAAAAACAAATATATACCCATTTCAATTATTTATTATTACCAGTGAAACCAATATAACATCTCAACATTCACAAATATACATTTCTGACATTCAAAAACAAAACAAAACAAATCAGTGACCAATATAGCCACCTTTCTTTGCAAGGACACTCAAAAGCCTGCCATCCATGGATTCTGTCACTGTTTTGATCTGTTCACCATCAATATTGCGTGCAGCAGCAACCACAGCCTCCCAGACACTGTTCAGAGAGGTGTACTGTTTTCCCTCCTTGTAAATCTCACATTTGATGATGGACCACAGGTTCTCAATGGGGTTCAGATCAGGTGAACAAGGAGGCCATGTCATTAGATTTTCTTCTTTTATACCCTTTTCTTGCCAGCCACGCTGTGGAGTACTTGGACGCGTGTGATGGAGCATTGTCCTGCATGAAAATCATGTTTTTTTTGAAGGATGCAGACTTCTTCCTGTACCACTGCTTGAAGAAGGTGTCTTCCAGGAACTGGCAGTAGGACTGGGAGCTGAGCTTGACTCCATCCTCAACCCGAAAAGGCCCCACAAGCTCATCTTTGATGATACCAGCCCAAACCAGTACTCCACCTACACCTTGCTGGCGTCTGAGTCGGACTGGAGCTCTCTGCCCTTTACCAATCCAGCCACGGGCCCATCCATCTGGCCCATCAAGACTCACTCTCATTTCATCAGTCCATAAAACCTTAGAAAAATCAGTCTTGAGATATTTCTTGGTCCAGTCTTGACGTTTCAGCTTGTGTGTCTTGTTCAGTGGTGGTCGCCTTTCAGCCTTTCTTACCTTGGCCATGTCTCTGAGTATTGCACACCTTGTGCTTTTGGGCACTCCAGTGATGTTGCAGCTCTGAAATATGGCCAAACTGGTGGCAAGTGGCATCGTGGCAGCTGCACGCTTGAGTTTTCTCAGTTCATGGGCAGTTATTTTGCGCCTTGGTTTTTCCACACGCTTCTTGCGACCCTGTTGACTATTTTGAATGAAACGCTTGATTGTTCGATGATCACGCTTCAGAAGCTTTGCAATTTTAAGAGTGCTGCATCCCTCTGCAAGATATCTCACTATTTTTGACTTTTCTGAGCCTGTCAAGTCCTTCTTTGACCCATTTTGCCAAAGGAAAGGAAGTTGCCTAATAATTATGCACACCTGATATAGGGTGTTGATGTCATTAGACCACACACCTTCTCATTACAGAGATGCACATCACCTAATATGCTTAATTGGTAGTAGGCTTTCGAGCCTATACAGCTTGGAGTAAGACAACATGCATAAAGAGGATGATGTGGTCAAAATACTCATTTGCCTAATAATTCTGCACTCCCTGTATACAATGTCGGGGGTGTTCGTGGGGGCACAGTATTTTGCAATAAAAAAAATAATAAAAAGAAAGTCTCCAAAATTAGTTTATTTTTATTACTTTTCTGGAAAGAAAAAAATAAAAATAATAAAACATTCAACATAAACAATGTATCTTTATTCGAAGGAAACATGGAACGAATGAAGGAGATGTTGAAATGTTTATTATTAGAGCAGCTCACAGTTTGTACACCCAACAAGGCTGATGGACAAACACATCCTATTTCATTTGTGTGATATCTAACTGTAAAAATTTCTCACTTCTATACTTGGATTAGACTTGTCAGTCTACTAGCAACCTGAAAGTCATGATCTGAAAATCTATTTTACAATGAATAAAATAAAATTTTGGGGTGGGGGAGGGGTGAGGGGACAGCAGAAGTATTC